ATACATGAGAAATTATTAATGAAGTTTGGACGGCACATCTGATGCAAGTTTTCAGTCTGTGGTTACGGCATTTTGCGTTCTATTGACAATGCCTTAGAGGGTCGGGAGGTGAGAGCCGGGGTCTAGGCTTGCTTTTGTTTATTGATGGTTTTGTTTTTGTTTTTATAGACTCTTGAAGCCTTCTAGTTTTAAAGTGATTTCTAAAGATATAGGAACATGCATTGTTTCGTGGGTGAATGAATGGCAGCAAGTCAAATGTCTCAAATTTGCAAAGCATATTTTGAAAGTTTGTTTTGTTTGTCAAACTGAAATGAAAGCGAACACTTGGTTTTGCAAAAAGCTTCTAAATTTACCGGTCTGACGAAAATTTTGTTTGTTACAATACCATACACATATTTTGGAACTAGTTTTGTATACCCCTATTATGATTTAAACATTTTGTTTGTCCCTATAGTAACGGCAAGATGCTTCACCGCCTCAAGCAATAACCGAGGTCGATTTCCGTGTGGAGATAATTGTTATAGAGTAAACTTCATGGTCTTTTTTTTTCTGTTGTTTTCGGACCTAAGGTTCGAGTTTCAGCTCGGTCCTACGTTTTGTCCTTGGGAAAAGAACTTTACACGAATCTCTCAAGTGTCTCAGTCCTTTCAGAGATGGGCGTTAAACTTGGAGGTCCTGCCTCTTAAATAACCTACTAGTGTTGACAGGGGCGTTAAACCTGTCCAATTTCAACATTTTAAAATCTGGCCCTAGCCCATTTGGATCTGAAAGGGAGGGTCGAGGCCCGCGTCCCAAATGATTTATATTGTGTCAATGGGGTGTAAAAAGGCCTTCCATACCCTCCCCCCCTCCACGAAAAAAACCCAAAATGATCTGTATTGCGTTAATGATGCTTGTGAATACATTTTCATCTGTAATTTACCTTTTAAAAAATCGATGCCTGTTTAGCTGCAGGTCTTCCAGCACACAGAGTCATCATCATCATCGTAGCCTTTCTCACCCTGCACTAGGGTATAGGCCACGGACAAACACCTTCCACCTTTTTTATATTCTGGGATAGCCCCTTGAAGTTATTCCATGTCTTCCCACTTTTCTGTACATTTATTTCTGTGATTCTTCTCCAGGTTCCATGCGGTCTGCCCCTTGATCTTTTACCCTGTGGATTCCAATCCAACACATGGAGTAGCTAACTATTGTTAAAAGTGGGTGGTTGGCGAGCGCTCTGGTGTGGTTTGCTTCTTCTTTCCCTATCAAATATATATCGTCCTTATCTCCCCTTCTTCTTTTTTATGTTTGTTACTCTCTTGAAACACTTCTAATCTTCTGGCGTTCATATGACCGTAAAACCTCTACCAAAACTTTAAAAAAAAGGCTAACGATAATCCGCCTTTTGATATAAGATCAAAGTACGATCGGTAGCTACTCCGTGGTCCTACGGTCCACCGATCCATTGACTGCAGGCTACGGGCCCGGGTCTATAGCAGGGGATAGATCCCCGAAACCTCACTCACTGTGTTCTGCTTACAAATGATCTGTTTGCTTTTAGGGGAACTCTTATAAGGACCAATATCTCTGTTTCT